AGCTAGTTGGGGGAAGGGCACAAACATACAAATTTTCACAATCTCAGCTCTCTCTCTAAAATATTTATGCCTGCATGTGCTAATCCTGGCAGTGGGTGAGATGTGCTTTCAAGCTACCAGCGTATGGATGAAAATGCAAAATATATCAACTACTCTCGTCTGGTCATGTGCTGCTATTCATCCCCCCAAGCCTGGAATTGCATGAACTGCTGCAAGTTCATCCACCTAGCTGCTCTTTTCGCTAAATTCAAATTGCAGCGACCGTTCCATCGATTTTTTTCGTGCTGAAAATTCGCATTGCTATTTGTCAATGTGTCATGATTGTTGTAATCATTTGTATTATGCATATCATCACAGTATCATTGTATTGCGTTTTACTAGTACAAAGTCTGTTGATGTTTGGCATTCGGTTTGTCTATCTAGTGACAAGGGGACCAAATCAGTGACAGAAGAAAGAAAATTTGGTCGCCTGGCAATGAGTTTTGTATATCTGTGACTTTGCTAGGTGAATAACTCTGATCTTTATGCGCACGTCACTTCACTACTGTATATCCAAGCTGAGGGCGTACAGAGTCCTTGCGGCTCTCGTGACAACCCCCACACTGTTGTGCTACTCACCCATTGCTAACCAATCTACTCACTCACTGGTCTTGGTATGGTTGTTGGATGAATAACCAGTGGTTGTTTCACTCACAAACTTGTATGTGTCTCGAGCTGATGTCGGTGTTCTCCTTTTATATACTTTCTCTCCACCCGCTCTATCGGCAAGTACTATAGCTACTTTACTGTGAGTTTGCATATGCATATATATATACACAACAACCGCTTGTAGGTATGCACTCAGTTCCGTCAAATAGGTCGAGTTGTCGATACATCACCAAGATGAGTACAATATTATTCTTCTATTTGTTGCTTTATTCGTTCTCCACTGCACTCATTAGTCCAACAATTTGCCATGGAAGGTATCAGGATGCACAAAGGTGCTCATAGTAACGATCTCCGAGATCCAACAAAAGTGGTGCTTGTTAGCAGTAATCTTAAGATAACTAGTTTTAGGTAAGTTCTACATAGATGCAACCTACCTGGCTGCCGTGCAGTAGTACGTGTGGGTTGTGTACTAGATCGTGTCCGGCTTGTAATTAGCTTGCCGAGTCGTCATAGTACTTTCCCGTATGAGCGTTGGAGTCTAGTCCGGTTTGGACTCAAAGCAAGTATGTCTACGTCGGTCTGGTCCTGCGTATATTTATATGCAGCACGTCGGCAGTTTTGTAACACCGGGAGAAAAAGAGAAAAAGAAATAAAGAAAAGAGAGGCACGACATGTGCACTTGGCAAAAGTTTTTGCGTGTGCGTGTTCATCGCGATTTGATGTGATCGATCCTGTGGGCGAAATTCTAACAATTGGTACCAGAGCAAGGTTCAGATTTAAAGCCGTGCTTGCCCCGGGGTGGCGACCTGACTAGCGCCTCGGCGCGGGCGATATTGTCGCTGGGTGCTGCAGCAATGAGGAGGATCGGGAGATTGTCGTTCGGCGGAGCGACATGGAGAAAGACGGCGGGATGTTGTCGGCAAGGCGGTGGATGGAGATCCTTGATGGGAGCGGTGGTGCCGTGGTGCGGTGTCGGAAAGTCGTCAAGATCGTTGTTCGCGGGAGTTTGATGAGTCAAGGAGTCGTGCGAGTCAACACGTCTCGGTCGGCCAGTCATCGGTCGTCGCCGTATCAGTGTCGTCATGTCCAAGTGCTCGTCTCTGTGGGAGGCGTTGAAGATGAAGCGCATCCAGGTCGTCTATGTGTCTCGACGAGAGGATCAAGTTCAACTATGTGGGGGCGGCAAACCAATGAAGGTGAGTCTCTTCAATGAGGCCATATCTCCACATGAGGCTCGAGTGGGCGGTGTAGTCCACAGGGTGGTGTGATCCACAAGGAGTCGGCATGTATCTCGCTAGGGTGGATGGTGAAGTTCACCGGTGGAGTTTTCCACAGGTTACTAGTGAGGGTGGGTAGTCCAACGCATATTTAAGGTGGTCCGTAAATTCGCCAAGTTGAAATTGGGGAGAGATTGTTGCTGAAGCCTAGCAATTTAACTTGTTATGATGCGAGAGGATGAGTTGATAAGGGATGAATCATCAATAAGTCAAGACCGAAGAAGCATTGAAGACAGAGTGTCAAGATTAGGAAGAGATTTTTAGCAGTAATCTTGAGATAACTAGTTTTAGGTAAGTTCTACTTAGATGCAACCTAGCTGGCTGCCGTGCAGTAGTAGCGTATTGGAGTCAACCTTGACGTACGTGTGGGTTGTG